TAAACATAAGCCTCAGAGGCATTCCACATATAAAGTTCCAAAGAATGTAAATTCATACAAAATATTTTTAAATTACTAAATATCTTAGTAAACACATTCCCAAGGACTTCTGAAAGAATAGTGAACTTAAAGCAGTAAATGGCCCCCTGTTACAAAACAACTAGATCCTAGATATAGAACCTATTTTAAGTGCATTCCTGTGTTAACAGAAAATAAAGAATGACCCCAAAAGACCACAATCTCCATCTACAGAGGAAAAAATAATGTAACCTGTAGCCATATCAGAGAAGCCCATGAATCAAGGTAACACAGTAGGTTTCCCTGAAGGCAAATGTATATACCACCAGCTGCGCAACCCAGAGACTAAGGTAGCTCTGAGCAAGTGTCAAATCTGAGGCGCTCAACCAGAGACTACTGCCTTCTGACTTGGTCTCAAGCTAACAGTGCTCCCTGACCACAGCCATAGGCCATCAAAAAATACGCTGAGGAGGAAAACAAGCCAGATTTCACCTCCCGGTCTAAAATTAACAGATAGGAGCTCTGTTTAATTCCTAAAGATAGGAACATCAATGTCTACACTCAAATGTTTAGAGCTGCTTTACTCATAATGGCCCAAAATTTGAGGTAACCAAGATGTCCTTCAATAGGGGAATGGATAAACAAACTGTAGTACATCCAAACAATGGACTACTTTCAATGGTTAAAAAAAATGAGCTAGTTTGTTATAAAAGGACATGGAAGAACCTCAAATATAAAAGGTCTGTCCAGAAAAAGTCCAACCATTGTTAATATAATGAGTGTTTGCACATTGATGTTACCTGGCAGCCAAGGAGAGTGGGCTAGAATGCACATGCATGAACAATGACAACTTCACTGTTCTAGTCAGTGGGGGCTGTAGATGACATTGAGTGAGCACATGTACTGTATGGCCATCACATTCAAAATGACTGAGTGGAGCAATGAATCTACATCAAATTTTGTGTTAAGCTTGAATATTCTTCTGTGGAAACTATTCAAATGATTCAGAAGGCCACAGCTATGGGCAACTGGAGATTGGCAGCTTCATCATGACAATGCACCTGCTCATGCATCATGTCTCATGCAGAGATTTTTGGCAAAACATCAAATCACCCAGGTGACACAGCCCAGATTTGGAGCCCTATGACTTCTGGCTTTTCCTAAAATTAAAATCACCTTTGAAAGGGATGATTTCAGACCATCAATGAGATTCAGGAAAATATGACAAGAGCTGTGTGAGGTCCCAAGGTGCCTACTCTGAATGGCACTGAGGGATCATTGTCTTATGCACAATGTTTCCTGTATCTTGCATCTTCTTCAATAAATGTCTCTATTTTTCATATTACAAGGCTAGATATCTCCTAGAAAAATGCTGTATATTGCTAAATGATAGAAGCCAGTTTGCAAAAATCTATAAACTGTATAGTTCCAACTATATGACATTCTGGAGAAGGCATAACTTTAGAGAGATCAGTGGTTTCAAAGGGCTCAAGAGTCCATGAGGAAGGGGCAAACAGGTGGAGCAGAGAGCACCCTCAGGTCAAACTATTCTGTATTACACTATAATGATGAATACATGACATGCATTTCTCACAACCCAGAGAACTGTACAACACAGAAAAATGAATCTAAAGTAAACTATGGAATGTAATTAATAATAATGTATCAATATTGGCTTATCAATTGCAACAAATGTACCACAATAATGCAAGATGTTAATAATCAAGGAAGTGGGGAAAAGAATTAATATATGAGAAAGTTCTACACTTTCTATACAATTCATTTACTAAATATGAAAGTGTTCTACTAAAGTCTATTTTTAACATATATGAGCTCAAAAGCAAAGATGACCAAAAATATAACAAAACAAGCAACATGAGTGAAAATCGTAAGAAACTCCCAAGTAATTTAGATCCTGGAATTATAACATATGAGCTATAAAATAGCCACATGTAATCACAAAAATAGCAAGCAACAAAAGATGATCAAAAATGATCAAATATATTTGAAAAAATTCTAATTTCAGGTATGAAAAGGTATAATGGCTGAAACTGAAAAGTCAGCAGGAGGAGTAAACTGCCCATAAGACAGATATACCTAAGGGGACTCAGGTGGATCTAAAGAAATTTTTCAAATTCAGGAGAAGTCCCATGTTTGGACAATGAGTTGGACACGGAAACTCATAGATCTGGAGGTGATAACAAGGTTTAACATGCATTTAATTAGAGTTTCAGAATTCAAGCAAGACACTATTCTACAGACAGCACTTCTCAACAGAAGCAACAAAAGCCAGAAGACAGGGAACCCTATAATCAGAAGTGAAAGAAAAGAACTCTCAACTAATAAAAGTATTTTGTTCCTAGTAAAAAATAATGTTAAATTTATAACATCTAATAAAATAGACTTAAAACATATAAAGTAGAATTAATATAACTTTAGGGGGTTATTGGTAAATCTAACACTGTAGTGGGAAATGTTAGTAAGTCTCTCTCAATAATTGATGTCAAGAAAACAAAAGAGTAGTAAGTAGATAGATGACTTCAACACAGTTAATAAGCTTGATTTGCTTGTCATATATAAGGAATCATCCCCATTCTCCTCAAGGCCACATGGAACATTTATAAAACCTGTTGGTAAATGGGCCAAAAAAGCAAGTCTCAAAATATTTTTATAGAGCTGATATCATCATAACCCCATTCTCTTGCCACAATTAAGAATTCAATAACAAAAAAAATTGCCGATACATTTGGAAATTTTAAAACTCACTTCCAAGTAATTCTGGGCCAAAGAAAAATCATAATGGAAATGTTTAAATATCTAATAACAAACAGTAATAAAAATACCATTTGTCAAAATTTGTAGAATGCAGCTCCTTAAAAGAAAAATATACATTAAACTTTTTTAAAATCTGAAAAGTGTGTCAACATAAAAGCTTAGAGAATAGTAGAATACATACAATAAAACAGGTAATAAATCCAAAAGCTTAACAAAGCCAACAGCATTTTCTTGAAAAAGGATTAATAAAATCGGTACAACTGTGGTAAGATTGAGCTATAGAAAAGAGAAGAAACAAAATAAACAATATCAAGAATGAAAAAGGATTATGAAGCTACAGATACAGAAGATAATAAAAAAGTGATCAAATTTATACCAATAAATTTGAAAACTTATATATATGACTATAAAAATATGTAGTACTGACCCAAAAGAGAACATTTAAATTTATACCATAAAGTGCAATCTTACATTAAGGAGTCTGGAACTTAACAGAAGGACCTGAGTTAAAAATCTCAGTTAAGTCATAGAGAGCTGCTTGACAGTGAGGAAATCTTTGGGTTTCAGTTGATTCATCCTTAAAAATGTGCTCTCTACATTGAAATAAAGAACAAACTAACAGTAACCAGAGGGGGGCAGGGTAACGGGAAAAAATAGGGAAAGGGTCATCAAGGAACATGTATAAAGGACACAAGGACAAAGCCAAAGGGGGGTAGGCTTGAGGGTGGGAGGTGGGGGTGTGTGGGGTGGGGGAAGAGGTGGGGGGAAAACGGCGACAACTGTACTTGAACAACAATAAAAAAATGATTTCTACAATAAAAGTTTTTTGTAACATTTAAAAAGAGATAACATGTGTAAAAATGTCTGCTATAAGATGTAGTATATAGTAGTGATTTTCAACCTTTTTCATCTCAAGGTATGCATAAACTAATTACTAAAATTCTACGGCACACCAAAAATACATTTTTTGCTGATTTGACAAAAAATAGGTATTATTTTGACTCATTTGCACCAGACAGTTATTGTTGTGTTGGCTGTTGTCATTTTTTTTTTATTTGACAGTCTCAGGGAAAAGAGGTCAGTGCCCCCGACCAAATAGTCTGGCATTGCATGTCTTAAAAACCCTGACAGCACATCGATTGAAAATTGCTGATATATAGGAAGTACTAAATAAATGCTAAATTTCCTCACATATGCTGTGGAAGAACTCTATTTCAACAACAACAACAACAAAAGCATTATGAAATCACAGAAAAAGCTCCTAAAAGATTAAGTCAAAAATTTTGTGCAGATAATGGTAACTGGTCCTGGGACAAGTACAAAGCAGTAATGCACCGGCTGAACTTCCCTTTGGAACTTGGCAGCATTTTGAGGACTTTATCTCCTACTCTGTCATCACTCTTCACTAGAAAACATTTTGGATGTTCCAACAAACAGAAAGCGGGAGGCAGATAAACCCCTCTAAATGACTTACATTTCTGCAGATTGGAAAACAACTAAAACCCTAGACATTTTAAGAAACTGACTATATTATCAAGTATGGCACTGGCACTGGCCTGCTTATCTTATTTTAAGCACTAAAATTATTTTAAGTATTACCATTAAAATACTGCTTTAAAAATTCTAATTTTTATTTAGTATTTAGTGAAATGTGAAAACAGCAACTGATTAATCCACTGAAAACTAAAACTAATACAGCAGAACATTTATGGTCATCATCTTACTATTCCTTAGATTAAACATAGATTTTTGGTGTTTTCACAGTGACAATAAAGCATACCATCTGTCCTTTCACTTAGATATTTTTACATGTCATATAAGGATATGTAATAATGAAAAGAATGCTTTACAAGTTGCAATAAATAACCAGAGAAGATGGTAACAACAAAGATGCACCTCTTTCCTTAGGTCTGGGTTTAGAACCCATTCTTTTTTCTCCATCTCACTCCCTCCTATTGTCCTGACTCCTGGATTATACGATTTACAGTGGAAAAGAGAAAGAGTGGAAGTATAGGCAAATGAGGTAAAAAGTGGTAACACTTGATGAGAATTACTCGACGTGCAGGTTTAGAGAGTTAATTGACTTGGCAAATGAAAGTTTTATTCTCTGTTACTAAAAAAAAAAATTTCTTTATATACAGTTTTGACCGCAGTGCATATGATTTAAAAGATACTGAATTATTTCAAAACAGATATTGAAATCAAACCTCAATTGGCTCTTCACCACCTTTTACTTGATTTTCACCCATTTCCCCATTCTCATAGCTGCTGCTCTTCTCAACCCATAACTCGGATTTTTCTACCGTCAGTCGAAGCTGGTCTAGATCTGCCTTTATTTGCTTGTAGTTATCTACATCTTGATTGGACACCAGCAATTGCACCTGGATACAGAATAATTTCAACCCTTAATTTATCCAAGAACCTTATTTCCATTTCACTTATGTCTAAAATTCTAAGTCTTTTAACATATTTCTCTATCAGTTGAAGATTAATATTTCTATAATATTTATGGTATTTTAAATGTATATTGACCATGAAAACTTACCTGGAAATATCTGTAAACTTTATCCAATATATTCACGAGTTATTAAGAATTACATATGTAAAATAAATAAGTCAAACAAAGCTTTTCAAACTGCTAAAAAGTAATTTAAAATAAAAGATACTCCCAACTCCAATTTCACTGTCAAAGTTAATTTTTCTGAGACCCTCTCTACCTGTTTTAAAAGAAGTAGAAACATAAAAATAAGTGGAAGAAAATACTGATACAGTCTAAACTCCATGATATCCACATTAATTTATCAAAATTTATATGTATTATATACATACAATATCAATTTATAACTATATCAATTTATATAATTACTCCTATTTCATTTTTGAACATTCTTTTAAAGCTTCCTAATGAAGACCAGTGCGCTAATAAATAAAATGTTAGTGAAACACCTGTAAGTAGTTAGGTATTTATTATTCATTATTTATTAAGTCTAAAGATTAATGTCATTCAAAAATGACAAAGATTAGATCCATAACAATTCCTTTCTTTTGGATGCCAACATTTTTTCAATCATATAACATTTTATTTCAGTGCTACTGCTTGTCCTACCCAAATTTATCAGTAAACCGGAGGTCAAAATAGCAGTTATGGCAACAGAATTCCTAATACAGTATTATCCCCCAGTGCCTTCCTAAATCTTAGTGCCTGTCATTTACATTAAAGATATTAACTGAAAATCACTGTGGGGAACTCTTTTTAAAATAGATCATGTCTTGGTTTATGACAAGGCCATATCCATCTTTAAAAACCAAAGAGTGTCCCCAGGAACAGCTGCACAGTCTCATTAACTCTGCAGCCATGAAGTCAGGTTGGATGTTATCAACAGTACTTTCAAAGCGTCTGCTCTGGAACCCCGGAGGGCCCTCCATCTTACCTGCTTAAATGCCTGTAGAACCTCCGCTCTCTGGCTGAAGTGCTTGAACAGAAGCTGCAAAGCTCCTGAGAGCAAAGGCGGGTAGTCATGCATGATCAGGTGAATGAGGACCCGTAAAAACGTCCTGCCTCCTTCATCATCAAGTTGAACTGGATTTTTTTCCTTTCTATAAAACCAAAGATAATTTTTAAATAACCTATATTTATATAAAACCTACCCATAAGTTGTTGAAATTGTGTATACATTCTGAGTTATATCACTTTTTTTCCCCAAGCTGGTAAGCAAAGAGGAAGACTTTTTACTCTTTTCTTCTTCTCTCATGTAACTGATAAGGAAACAAAGCACAAAGAAAAGCTTGTTTGGCCACGAAAGCAGAGGTGACCAACTGTCTCAGTGTGTCTGAGGTGGAGGGGGTTTCCAGGATGTGGGACTTTTCAGCGCTGGCACTATTTGCTAGGCACACAGGAATGGGTTGGTCAGCTGGGCACAGAAAAAAAGGGACAGAAGTCTGAATCAACCCAAAAGTGTTTGTTGAGAGGACATACTAGGTTGGGTGTACACCAAGGGTTGACTTCCCTTTGCTGAGGTGTCCAACCTGGGGCCTGTGAGCCACATGCGGCTCAGGGTGGCTGTGAATGCGGACCAACACAAAATTGTAAATTTACTTAAAACGTTATGAGTTTTTGTTGTTTGTTTGTTTTCCTTACTGTTTGCGTATTTAATGTGTGGCCCCAAACAACGCTTCTTCTTCCAGTGTGGCCCAGAGACGCCAAAAGGTTGGACACACCCCTGAGAGAGCAAATGCGCATACACACTCCGCTGCCACCAGAGCAGCTGTGTGTTTAACGCATTTGGACTTGGAGCAAGATTCCGCTGGATGAAAAGTCCACTCGTTTTAAGGTGAATGTCAGGCACTGGTTTATTCTCCCTCCTCAGGACTAATGAAACACTTGAATAGGAAAATGCATGATGACAACAAAAACTAGCAAAACAATATAAAAACAAAGCTAAACCAAACATTGACTACAGATAAAAATCCTTTTGATTCCCTTGATCTTTCATTCTTGTTTGTCTTCCTAACCAAAGAAAATGCAACAAAAGGCTTAGTATATAAATTTGTTTAAGTTCTCATGGCAAATCAGTAATAAAAATGCATGCTAGAAATTCAATAATTTGTAACTTAGACATTTTATTTTTTTTATGTTTCTTTCTGACTGCTATTAATTTCATTTCTGAAAAAGAAGGAAACAAGTTAAAAAAAAAAACAATAAATGGCAGGGCTCCTGATCACAAAGGAGGGCGGTCATGCCACAGGCATTTCCTTTTCTCTAATCATGGATATTTACAATTGGCAGAGAGTATCTTTATTTCTCGTATATAAAGTTAAAGATGACTTTGAAAGAAATGACTTTCTTGCCTCAAATTTCTCAGATTTAGGGAAGCAATGTTTTTGGAAGATGCAGCAATATCTGTACCAGGGGAGCTAAAGGTCATTGGTATGCTGTCATTATTTGATGAAAGAAAAGAATTCAGGGAAAAGTTCAATACACTGATCTCAGTTCTCTTGTCCTTTTTTTTTTTCTACCTGACCTAAAGACAAAGTTATGCTTTCTCTTCTACTGTAAATTACCAGCTTCATTTCTGGCAAAATGTATGACCTAAAATTAAATAGACATAGGAGGTGAACAATAGCAAATTAAATAGACATAGGAGGTAAACAGGTATTATCAATAAAATACTAAGTAAAATTTTATTCACAAGATAAAGAAACAAAATGTGACTTTACCTTCCAGCAAACATGGTTTCTGCCTGAGCTGCAATTTCATCTATATCAGGAACAATAGCTGGAAAGATAAATGGTACAATCTATTCTTTATCTTGTTGTAATTAAGTCACTCTATGTATATTTATATACCTAAAAGTATTTTGTCTTAATTTCCGTATGCCACAAAAAAGTCAATTAGGAGTTGTAAAAGACCCAGTAGACCTGGCCGGTGTGGCTCAGTTGGTTGGAGCGTCAACCTGTACGCAGTAAGGTCACCAGTTTGATCCCCAGTAAGGGCACAGGCCTGGGTTGCAGGTCAGGTCCCCAGTCAGGGCGCATGTGAGAGACAACTGATCAATGTTTTTCTCTCTCTCATCGATGTTTCTCTCCCTCCCTCTCCCCTTCCCTTCCCCTCTCTCTAAAATTAATAAATATGTCTTTGGGCGAGGATTAAAAAAAAAGTCACAATATAGTTCCACCTTAGATATCAATGTTTTATATTGAATTTTACATTTTTAAATATATATTGCTACAGTCAAAGGTATATTTAAGTGTGGTGACTGCAGGGGAAGCGGGGGTATATGGGGATAAATGGTAATGGTAAAAATAAATAAAAAATAAAAATTTTTAAAAGATATATTTAAAAGACCAGAAAGAACCTTTTACAAAGATACTTCACCTATATGTGTGTATATATGTGCATCAACTACACACACATATATTCATACATATAATTTAAATGGGTGATGACATGAAAGGACCATGTTTTTTAAAGAATCAAAATATACCTATAATGAACGCTGTGACTATACGGTAATTCAAAACCACATGGTCCACCACCTGAGCTTACTTCTCAAATTCCATACCTTCTTCTCCTGGGACACAGTGCCTCCCACCACTAACATTTCAAAGGTATCATGATTAAAGTAATCTATTTAAGTGATAAGTACACAATTGATTTCTCATTTCCAAGGCACAAAAAGAAAACAGAGCAAGATATAAAAAGGGAAAAAGAATCCTCCCCAGAAAGCTCTCTGTTACAAATACAACAAACGTCAGACATCAGGTAAATCAGAGAAGTGTTTTTTTTGGGGGGTGCCCCCGACTTCCCCCCCACACACACACTTTACTGACAGAGCTCCTGTTTCCAGAATTCTGGCTCCTGAGAGCCAATAATTTTTATGCTACTGTCAATGCAACCGCCAGCAAGACTTTCTGGTTCTGCCATATCATTCCTGGAAACAGCCCTTTGGGGTTCTGCATTTCTGGGAAGCATAAAAGCAACGCTGTTGCAAATGTGCCAGAATCGCTCCTCCCTTAGGCAAGCTTAACCATGAGCAAAGCCATGCGGCCTTTCGTTTGGTGCTGAGTCAGAGAGGGGAACAGTTGGTCTAGCCTCCATTTTAAGTAAGCACTTAAAATCACTGAATCATTCCTGTCAAATTGACTGACATACAAAGAGGAGGGTTCCTGACGTTGTCACAGTGGCTGTGGTTAGAAAAGAGTTTCATATCTGTATACAAATCCTATTCCCAGGGAAAGAATTCTGTTAACTGGCTAAGTCTTTAATTTGACATAGTTCACAAACTGCCATGGCTGACCCGATCGGTCCAGAATAATGGTTATTTAATATTTCTTAAGTTTCATAAGGTACTTTCTATAGGCATAATATTTTTACAATTATTTTTATGCTCTTTCATCATTATGGTCCTACACTTGGAGATAAATAAGGTGGCTTTATTCTTATATGATTTAAATATGAAAGATTGAAACACAGGGATAGATTATAACTGTGCAAAGCTAAAAACAACAAACATACACACAGGAAAACCAACACCCACATTCACGCATTCATACCATGGGGAAATGCCATGTCTTTATTTCAAGAGTTGAGCAATGGCTTCCTATAAAATACCTTTCCTCTCCATGACTGTATTTCACATTGTTCTTTGATCCAGAAAAAAAAAAAAAAATTCCCTTGGAATTTCACCAAAATAGAATAATGCTTAGAAGATTTCAACTCTGGAGTTGGAGAGAATTCAGAATCCGTGCTCTACATTTTATGACCTTTAACAAGTAACTTTAACCCCTCTGACCTTGGTTTTCTAATATGTAAAATGGCACAATAGGCAGTACCTCCACCTTGCAGAGGTCTGAAGATTACAAAGGAAACTGCATTCAAGCACCAAGCAACAGCAAATATTCTCCCTGCCATTCTAGGCAAGTTGTCTAACACTCTGTCTCAGTCCCTTCATGTCATTGATGGAGATTATTCCCACTGTGTTCTAACGTAGGAAAGGTACTTTCAAGTTCTCAGGGAAACAAAATACCAAGAGTAAATACTGTCACAAAGGAGATACCTGATGGTATTAATGTATCTGGAGAGCCATTGGCAGACGTTTCCGCATTCTCATTGTTCTCTCCGAATTCCTTCTTATATATTGACAGCATATAGGAGATCCTATAATCTAGTCTGACACTCAGGATAAACTACAAGAAACATTAAAAACAACATAATTTTCTTTTGTTAGCACAGTGTTTAAAATACCATTCAATACACAACACCATGAACATAACTATCAAGATATCACGTGAACTAGTTAGAAATTTATTGGTAAACACTTAATGCTCTGGTTGCATACAGTTCATCAGTCATAAGGCCAAGAAAAACAATGTGTTTCCTAAAGCATTTTTTTGAAAGAAGAAAACCTGACTTCTCATGATTACTTTCTGAATATTCCATGTAGAGGTACCCTACGGGTCAAGATAAAGAGACAGTGATACCAGCTGACATCACAGCATCCTAATATACCATGGATATGCCTCACTGATGTTTGCTTTTCCTTGGCTTTGTGTTGTTCTTGTGCTCCTTAAGTGGCACAATGATAGGAACAAAGTGCCTATAAGGTTCCTGCCTGTGCTCGGCGCTATGAAGAATACAAACACCTAATGTCCACCACCCTCAAGAAGCTGATGATCGAGTTGGGAAAACAAAATATATATGGTTGACATAATTAGCTAAATCATGTGGTATGGAATATACTGGAGATCATAGAAGGAAAAATACGCTTTACAGATTTCCGAGTCAAGAAGGGAAACAATGAAGAATTGGTCTTACACAGCGTTACCTTCTACCCAGTGAGCCAGACCAAGGCCCTGAAGTAAACTTTGTCCCAGCAAAATTACCATCTACACGCTCACGAGTTTCATTGGGACAGTAAACAATGGTCATGCAATTTTAGAAAACTTGGTATTTGGTGGGACCAGCTAACTTTATTTCACACTACGTCACACTTGCATCACACTACCCCCCCGCCCCCGCTTCTCCTGCCCCTTTCTCTCATTCCCTCTCCCTTTCACTTCTCTGTTCCAGCAGCACAGGCATAGGATGGGATGCCTGCATTTTCTCTCCCACCTTCTCACAGGTGTTTGCAGTGTCCACTTTACACCCTGAACAGTCTTCTTCTTCTTCACCAAAAACCAGCTTCTGAGACACCCTCCAAGGTCCAGTCTGAACCCTTTGTTTTATTACTGAAGTTTTTTTTGGCTCCAAGCCCAAATGAATTTTCCTCCTTTCTGCTCACTCAACACACTATTTACACCTATAGATCCAAAGTTGAATCTCTCTCTCTCTCTCTCTCTCTCTCTCTCTCTCTCTCTCTCATGCTCCTTATGGGCAGCAAACATGCTCCATGTCAGCGATGTTCAGTTAAGTTCAACAAACATTTTTTAAGCTAGGTACTGAGGAAAGCGCCAAGGGTAAAACAGGGTTCCACAGATTTAAGACCTGCCTTTGAAGAGCATATAGTCTAGAGCAAAAAACAAACATGAAAGAGACACTTCCATTAGCATGGAGTGAGCAGTGCAACACGCATTGTCTGAACTGATTCTGGCTAATAGGGGCTTTTCAAAGCAGGGGACAGGTCATGGGAAAAGAGGCTGAGACAGGGCCAGTGGATTTGGCAGCTTTGAGCAGAATGGTGGGAGCTGAAGTTAGATTGCAAGTGCTTAAAAAAAATGTGTGTTTTTTAAACTATGTAAAGAACAAATTAATAAAATACAAATTAATGAAACACATTAACTTTTAGTTGAAGTTACTAAACTTCATAGAATTGTATTTTATAAATATAACCAAAATAAAAATGTTTTCCCTCTTATATACAGGGTGGGGCAACAGTAGGTTTACAGTTGTTTGTATAGAAAATCATAATTAATACATAATAATACAAGAATCAACTGTTTTGTGTACTCGTAACTGTAAACCTACTTTTGTCCCACCCTGTATTTAATTATGAAAAATCAATGGAAGATGGAAAGAAAGAGGGAAAGAGATGAATGAAAACAAAAACAGGCCCTGGCCAGGTAGCTCAGTTGGTTAGAGTGTCATCCCAATATGCCAAGGTTGCGGATTCAATCTCTGGTCAGGGCACATCAGCAATCAACAAATGAATGCATAAATAAATGGAATAACGAATAGATGTTTCTCTCACTCCCCCCCTTCCTCTCTCTAAAATCACTAAAATAAAAAAATTTTTGAAAAGAGGCAGAGAAAGAATGCTCAGAGATGGCCAGGCATAGATAGAGAGAATGACAGAGAAACAAGCTAAAAAAGGAGAGCTATGCAAAGAGAAAGGGAAAAGAAAGGAAAACACGGGGCAAGGAGGAAGAGCCAGCAGAAAGTAGGGGACTTGTATCAGGAATGAGGCCACATAGAAATTCTTCAAGAGATGTTCTAAAAACAAAACACATTCAAGAACGGCAGCGAGGAACACAGACACAGACACACAGAAAACCAGTGAGAACAGAGGTTCCCCAAGAAATACAGAAAGAGCCCAAAAGAGGCAGCAAATATGAGTCAGCCCTAAACTGCCCTGATTGTCCATCCCATCATTTTTTAGCTGTTAAAAGATTTTTTTTAATGCTGTTTCTTTTTTCTGTAACTATGGGCTAAAATGAGGTCACATACTTTAAAGGCTGTCCCAGGAGAAGGATGATGTTAAGCTGTGGGCTCATTAGGTCCACAGGTCAGATGATCACTACCTTTCTCAGTTTCAGAAGAGGAAGACTAAGTGGTTTTTCAGGGTCATGAACAGTGTTGAAGGTCTGCCAATGTTTCTCAGGATTCAGCCCTCGGATTTCCTGGAGGAACTGTAAAACCTCTTACGATTATGAATCTAATTACTTTAAATAAGAATGTGCAGGCCCTTCCTGGACTACTAACCCACTTCTGGTAGCTCAGTCTACTTTAAATTATGACGAAAGACAATAAACTGTACCCAGAATCTTAATACATCCTTGGAAACTCCAGGTTCCACTCTCCAAATCTGAAATAAATGCTAAATATATAATTTAAGTATAATAAACTTACTTTTCGAGTTTAAAAAAAAAGTGTTAAGAATTCATAGATACCATAATGGGAAATTTATTCACTAAAGCAGTGGGCATGAAATAGCAATTTACCTCCTTTAAATTCATAAGATTAGATTAACTTACATATATAAATTATATCTGATGTATTATACTATACATAAGTTTTACATATTATATTTGCTATTCCTGGCCTTTTGGCAACAAAAATACAAACAGGTAGTCACTTACATAAAATACTAAAATCAATTAAAACCAATTATTAACATTTTTGTTAATAATAAATAAAATTTTAGGTGAGTTTCTTGCTACAATGATAAATCTAGATACATGGACTCATGTGTCCACTTCAATTAAAACTAGAAAAAGGGTTAGAATTCGATCATTAACTTTACCAGGCCTGAAATCCTTCTTAAATGAAGCTAAAAGTAAATTAGGATTAATACTAAACAAGACTATACATAGGAAAGAGGTTTTGTCCCCTACAAAGCATTTTATCATGTTAGATATTGTCATTAATATATTTAATGGAAATGAAAAAAATGTAATTAATATATTAAATAGCAGCCTGGTGAGATTTCTTACCAGGCTGGTCATTATCTTATAAGAAATAAAATTAGATCGAGAGCATTTCAGAATATTTACACAGTGATTTGAAGCAAAAAAAATAAGAAATTAAAGCAATAAGCATATTTAGGTATTTGTGGCTGTTTTCCTTACACCACATACCTGTAAAATCTCAATAATCTTCAACTTGGTGTCCATCACAGTCACGTCCTCGTGCTCAGCAGGGCTCCCTTGCTTGCTGGGGTGGATGCTTGGCTGCACGTCAGGCACATTCATGGGGAAGATGGAACCTCTGCTGAGCACCATCTGGGTCATCATCTCGCCTACCCCATGGATGGTTCTCATGACATTGTTTCCTGGCACAAGAAAAGTCCCTAAGTCAACATACACAGCACCTGGAGAAACAGCGGCAGGCTCCAGGTGGCCACAGCCAGACTGAAACCATGACAGGAGCAGCGTTAAGGAGGCGAGAGAGTAGCATCAGCATGGCGCTGGCCCCTTCCTTGCCAGTGAGGTGAAGGCATTGCAGGCACATTTCAAAATGAGAAGATTTTAAAAATGCAAGTTTACTTTTCTCCGAAAATGCTTTCAAATCATGCACCAAGAATGGCTTGTGGTAACTCTAAGGACATCCAAATCAGGTCCTTCAGGAACACATTAGGTCCTACCAACTGTCACACGAAGGGGATCTAACATTTACAATAATGTGAAAGAAAGGTTGTTAATCTCCACAAGAAAGTGAGTTGTATATGTGGGAACATAAAGATTACATGAAAACATTTCAATGGTGATGAGCATCCTAATCCCACCATCAAACTAAGGGCTTCTTAGCTTTGTTTTCATACTGCTTGTAAAAGAGCTTATGGGAGGATGTTCCAACTTTATTCTAAAAAGTTTCAACTGATGAAGAAGCATGTATTAGTTGATATACTTCCCATTCATTCATCCTATTTGAACAGATAATTGCTACTCAAATTCCACAAAGACAATCATGTTTGAGGTAATTACAGGAAACAAATTAGTGTCAAACACGAACATTTCAGCGAGGGGACCACTCTTCTTCAGCATCTTCTTCTGATCTGGCTTCTCCCTCGTTTGTCCTGCAATAACACTGCACAGGCACTGATTCCTTACCCCCCAGCCCCGTGGCTACGGGAAGGGCCCTGCTGACCCTGCTCCAATTTACATTCTCCAGGCTGACTGTCGTTTCTCAAGCAGCAAGGACTCAAAAGAACAATTGTGTACTTTCCTTTCCCAACAGTGGTCTTTGCTTCGTGGGTGTTCATGGAGCTTTGCCTCAAGCAAAGGTCTAAGAATCTGGCCAAAAATGTTCTCTTCCCTAAGCGTCTCAGAGTGCAAACCAAGAGAAAGGGAATAAGATGGGACAAGATAAAACTCTCAGCTCTAAGTCAAGAACATAAACTGTGGGAATACCTACAGGATCGAAAGACAAACAAATGAAGAAAAGGAAAATATTCAAAAGATGACTCAAAAGAATCTTGATGGTCTCACGCAGACAGACAACAATTACCGCTGAGCCACGGGTAACCACTAGTATTTGCATTGTGAAAGATGGAATGCCTTTCCAAGTTCATTACCTTATCCATATCTGAAATTAGTGTATATAAAAGAGGGTGGTGCTCAAATAGCATATTTTCGAGAAGGCAAAGAAGTTAACATTTTTTTTTCTAGAATGGCATCTTCCAGGAAGAAATTAACTTAGGTTTTCATCCTGAGAGTCTAGGACCGTTTATCACACACTGCCGCTTGCATAAGCCAACAAAAGGGGACGGCGGGATGCGGACAAGGAAAAAAACATGGAAGGCAATTTCCAAGTTTGGATAGGGTTGAGACAAAGAATTTCAGACAGCCCTAGTTTATCAGAATAGCCTCAAGGCAGAATGCTGCCTTGCCCATGGTTCTCTAACAACCACGGAAGTTGAGGATTTCCAAATACCCCTGCTGTTTGCTACATGGATTGCAGGGATGCACATCTGGTTGCTGGCACTGGTTTGGGGTCATCCACGTTCAATCAATACGTTTATCCAAAACTTGATTAGAGTACGTATATGCATTTGCCTCCAAGAGATACTTTCTCACCACTAACACAGAACAGGCTCCTGTGTTATTCTTACTCCTGATCCACAGACAAATCCTTGGCACCCGCAGTGTCTGCATCTTATTTAGATTTGCATGGAAAATAATCATTATACCCAAATGATTATTACACAGGAAGTCAGCCCAGACAATTCCTCCCCCAAATATAGATCCTGTCACCAAGAAATTAAAACTTAGAGGCCAGAACCATAATAATATGTAACACATGTTGTCAATGAAATGGGAGGGTTCATTCCAGTTGTACCACATCGTTAGACGCCTGTAGGACGTGGTCGCCACAAACTCTCCTAACATCTCCATGTATGGCCAACTCAGAGGTCTTAAATTAAAAGATGTTATAATTTTCGGAGTTGCTAGGTGGTGAGGAGAAGTGCTTAAGTTGTGAACTATTATAGTTTGAAAAACTAAGTCAAACACCACATAAATCCCAGGCGTGTAAGGCTCTGATATCCATTTTTCTGCAGAAAAATTGCTAATTCTAGACTAAGTCAGAGATGATCAGTCAGTGACATTGCCAAAGAAGAAACCTTACTATTTCTCTTCTCAACCATAATTAGTTAATGCTACTAAAAAGTTTTCAGTGAAAAGGATATTGTATTATAAATCCTCTGGACAAATTATACCTTAGATTCAGCTTTTCTATGTCTTTTGTATTAACACAGGAATTTGGATTTATCTATAAAGTGTATTGAAGTGGTTTGAAAAAATTGGAGTCATCATTGTTAAATAACAGCATGAAGAAATTTCTTAGAAACAAAAGCAGATGGACTATTTAGGTTCTTCCACTACATGATTATATAGATGTTTTTACTATTCCTAATTTCCCTAAGAGGAAAGCTCAAAACTAAGACAGGTATAGCAAAATGTGTACTAGGAATGGTGACTAGGAATGGACTGAAAATATATTGCTTTGTCTCTTTGATAATTCCAAATGAACCATGTTTACATTACCAATACCACAGACATAGGAAGCAACGAGGTATTTGCCTAATACTAAAGCTTTCCTAACCATAGTTTAAATTTTCTCTGTTCAATAGTTATTTTATTGCCAATGATCGCTATTGGGTTCAACAATCTTTAACAGTTATATGGATATATAGAAGGTATAAGACATTTAGCAGCCTCTTACTTGATTTAAATTTACCTTATGTCCATTGGTGTTTTAAATCATCATTATCCGTTATTTATTTCTATTAGAAATAGTTTTCTTCTATGAGCACATAAGAGTAAAAATGAAAAATTTGAATTTTCCAGCTGTTTAGATATCAGATAGCCAACCTTCTAAGCATTTATAAGAGCAAATAGGCATTTGATTAGAAGAATTCTGTGAATAATTGTTCATAGCAATTTACTTGTTCTGTGACTATTAAAGTCAGCTCAATGTTTTATAGTAATATAAACCAAAAAATGAATCATCTGAAAATCATTCTTATTTCCCTGAGACATATCTTTACAGTTGGATTTGAGTAAATGCATCTACTGTTCTAATAATTCATTTGAAACTGAATGCTGTGAAACCATAAAGATATAATTCAGGAAGTCTTTCTACTTTCCATCCCTGCTCAGCAGCTCCTCATGAACCTCTGCCTGCTGGAAACCGCGGCTGCTCTGGAACTAGACATTTTCCATTTCAAACAATCTTAGGAACAATGCTTCTTCCCAGTGATAAAGGGTCTGGGTTATAAAAGAACTTATCTGTATGCAAGGAAAACAAAAACATTCACACAAGATCAAAGCTTTAATTAAGCTAGTGATATAAGCAGAGTAATAAGTAACACAGAGTAAATGGAAGACCAAAATTGAACACCCCAAGACAATGGATGAGCAGCACTCCCAGTTCAGTTAGATCGCCAGGCTTTGGAGAGCAAGATGTCCAGTCCTCATCGGGTCTTACACCATGCGGGGGCCCCGGGGGAAACCCGCTATTCCTTGGCCTCGGGGTCTCCTATCCAGCTGGTTGTTTGGCTGGCTCCCTCAATCCTTTCCGATTTCTGGTACAGTATCACCTCCTCAGATCGGTGTCACCCTCTCTAAAGGACTGCCGTCACCCTGGCTCCATGCACCTGCTCATTTCAGCCATGGCATTAGCACCCTCACACATCATATTTGATTTTTTTCCATGTGATTACTGTACCCCCCCCTAAAAAAGAATAGAAGCTCCATGAAGACGGGCATTTGGCCTGGGGTAGTGCTCTTCCTCCAACACCTAGAATAGTGTCTGACACCCAACAGCCAGTCAGTAAATGACTGTTAGATTAATACACAAATAAAAGAAAAGGATTAGATTAACAAATGAATTATTAAAAATGAGAATGACTTATTTATAAGGCTCCCATAAAAAATTAAACACCAATACATTAAAGGTACTCCATGTTTCATCATGGTGAGCTTTTGCTTGCTTTCCTTTATACTTTCCTAAATTTCTCCAAAAAGCATATATAATTTCATGTTACTTTAAAACTTGTTAAAAAGGAAAAACTAATAAAATAGATAACAAGGAGATAAGGGAAATCATGGGTTCTGCCATTATCAAGAGCACATCACATCCCCTGTACTTGGCTCATCCACATGCACACCGCCCCCCGCCCCCACAGCAAGGCAGTGGTTGGGGCAACGCATTCCACTTTACATTGTCAGAAAGTCAAGTCAGAATCTGACAGAGTCTCAGATTCAAGTCAGCTGATGTCAGTGTACATCTTTACCCCACACCATATTGCTTCACTGAAAGACAATCACCTTACAAGTTTCCAAATATCTTATACTAGAACTCAGGAAACCTACCAAACACAGAAAAAAATATTCTAATCAACACTGTGTACTGAAAATGTGGAATTACTATTAATCAAATAATAAATTTACTCACATTATTCCCGAGTGATCTTATCCAACCAGTTATTATTATATAATGGGCCACACACTACTTGGGGCATTCTGTTTACATTACAGAATTTGATTGTAAGGGCAGCCCTTGTTCAGAAAGTATTTATTAAGAAGCTAATGTTCATCTGGCTCTATAGTAGGAACATAGTGGGTAGAAGGACACAAGAGAAGCAGAAAAATTATAATATAGCTAGGAAAACATAAAACATGTCCAAAAAAGAAATTAAGAACAAATACAAAGCAGATGAGACAGTAACAGTATAGCATGGGTAGTACGCAAAATTGTGTAGGAAATTGTTTTTAATTGAGAAAATTATTGTAGGATAAGGAAAGGGAACAGCAGTTTCCCTGGAGAAAT